GGGGGGGGGCGTAGTTCATGTGGACGAACTGCGACGCAGCTATAAGACTGAATATAACTTCTGTGTTCCAGAGGAGGCCTGAGGGCAGGATTCATGGAGGCTGTCAACATGGACCCGGAGGTGATGCATTATGTCGACGTCATGCTGTGCTTCGACATCAGCGCTCCGGTCACAGGGCAGCTGGCTCTGGACCTCATGGTCGACCCCCCCAAACCTGGAGACGCCTCCTATGACACGTACACACAGGTGACACCCCCACCCCACAGTCCAACCCCCTTGTCTTGTGTTGTTCCGCCTCTCACGTTCCGTCTCTGTTGTTCTGTCCGTCACAGGAGATTCTCAGTGCTCGGGCCATTTTGTCCCATAATGCTCAGCGGGCTTCGCAGTTCCTGAACGGTCTCCCGGGGATAAGCTGTCAGCCTGCGATGGGCGGAATCTACCTTTATCCCAGTCTGTGTTTACCAATCGTGATCGTAGAGCAGGCCGAGGTACGGGTATGATACCAGAACAGGAAACACTTTGAGATTCACTTTACAGAGAATCTACAAAATAGGAAGAAAACAAGACTGTGGGAACATGGGAGGAAAATCTAGGCTTTTTAGAGCAAATGAGAAATAAATTATACGATATAATATTTAAAATGATTATATTTATAAAATTAAAAAAAGCACAAACTATAGGACATACTAGGATAAAACTTGAGAGGATGCATTATGGGTAAGAGAGGAAACCCACTGAATTTTGGTGCAGATCTGGATCAGGGGACGGATCCAGGAAATAGAGATTTTATAAACATTTTCATTGATTTCTCAGAGAATTATTCATGAATCTTGATTATGAAATTCAGATGTATTGTAGGTGGCTGGCTGCAGTGGAGATCATAAACCCTGCCTCCTCCGTGTTAGTAGATGGAACACGGACCAAGCTAAAAAAGTCGAAGTAGAGGCAGTTTTTATCATTGTAGATATACTGTAGTTGTTATCACACTGATTCAAGTGTTTCTGATCAGGAGTGATGATTCACGTTTACTTTCTGTTGTTAGATGTTAGGGGTGGAGCCAGATGTTCTGTACTGTCAGAGGTTACTGAAGGAGGAAGGCCTGTTGATCGGAGCAGGTTGTCATCATGGAGGAGCCACCAACAGTTATCATCTGAGGTGAGAGAACTTTATCCTCGTCGGTCAGTTAACTTCTGTTTGTAGTCGCACCGTTTCTAATGGGCCTTGTGTTTCCGCCCCCCTCAGGTTATGTGTCCTCGTTCCACCCGACACTCTGGAGGAGGCCCTGACTCGCCTCGGCTCGTTCCACCTTCGCCTCGTGGGCAGATTCGTTCACTGTAACGGTGTGAAGGACAGAGACGAGCACGTAAATCTGAGAGAGAAGATCTGTCCAACTCGTAGAAATCACGTTCCACCGGGCTCCACCATGTTTGCAGAGGAAACACTACAGAAATGAATAATGTTCCGGCGATTTGTCAATAAACAAACAAAATACTCTTGTGTAGTGTAGTTATTTAAAGAAGAAAAAACACAGTTGCATCAGGATTACAAGACAGGATTACAAGACGGTGTAAACTTTGTTGATCATTTCTGTATTTGCACGAATAAAAAACAGCAGAATAACAGATATATCATCATACGTGTGTTTTCTTATCAAGAGTAAAAGACAACAACCAAATATTTTAACAAATTTAATGTGATTCATCATTACTCGATGTTTGCACTTGAGATAAAATCACAGTTTCACCAAAGTCAACAGCAAATGGATTTTTACGAAACTTGGTGGGATTTTTGTCCTCTCTCTTTGTCTCTCTCTCTCTCTCTCTTTGTTTCTCTCTCTCTCGCTCATCCCCTCCAGCTGTGGGCTCTTGCAGCACCTCCACTGTCTCAGCTGAGGCCACTCTGGAATCACAGTAGAGGCTTAAAACCCTGAGCAGAGCTTCAGATGTTGCCAGTGGAGCAAGCTGTCAGTGAACTGTGTGGCAGTGTGTGTGTTGGTTGGTGTCTTAATGTGGTTTTGATTAGATTCAGTTTGTAAGTGCTCTTTTGTTGCCCTGGTTAATGTTCAGTTTGTTGCAAATTGTTTTCAGTGGGTTGTTCTTTGTTTGCTTATTCTCTCTTCAGTTTTGTGAAGAGCATTTTGTGCAGATTTTACATTTGTTAATAAAATACTTGATTTTCATCGAATGCATCCCGCTGGTTGTTTTTTCCCCTGGTTTATTTTTTAATTGTTTGTCCCTCATTTCCTAGAACAGATTTCCAGGAAACTTGGTGACAGATGTAACCATTAAATTCTGTCTCGAATCCGGACAAACGGGAGGATCACTTCCTTAAAACATTTTCTCTCTTGAACATTTTCACTAGTTTCTCAGGAATCCTTCATTTTCTGTGAGTGTTTGTAATTTGGAGCTTGATTGAATTTAAAGAGACAGTAAAAGTGGTGGATCCATTTTTTTTTTTGTGTCATTCTGTGAATTCCTGGGATATTTTGCAGGTTTGAAGCAGGAGCCCCTTGAGTAATCCATCTAAACACTACATACAACTAGAATCTATAAAACACACCGAGCCCACATCAGAACCATCTACTGTAGAGGGTGTGTTGTCAGGGGTTAACCACAGGGAGTCAGTGTTCCCTGTTGCAGTCTGAGTGCAGTGTTGATGATGAGGCAACATAAACGTTTATCTGAAGAGAAAAAAGCATCATTGACATATGACCGAGCACGTTCCACCTCCGTCCTGGTCACGTACAGAACATATGAAACCTCTCACACACGAGTGCAGAAGAATAAAGTGGGATCAGGCCTAGTTCGCCTCCTGCAGCCTCTTCTCACCTGGAGCTGAGCCCAGCGAGTGAACGAGCGAGCTGCAGATCTCAGGCTTGAAATCCTTCAACTGTAAATACTGTGAAAACTGCTGTGCAGGGCTCTGCTTCACCCACACCAACTGACTGCCATCTTCCCCCCCCCCCCCATCTGTTTTTTTCATCCTCTTTTTCCTCTTTATTTCTCCCTCCATCCTTCAGTGGAGCTCGGTTTTGCACATGCTACATAAT